CCCCCCCTATTTGACCATTTCAGATCAAGAAAATCAAGATCTAAATCTTGAACAGCAAGAGAGTTGTGAATAGAGGTTACCCCTGGGACTCCATCAGAGTTGCCCAACGGAGGTGAACTCCATAGGATTTTATTTTGTTTTATTTAAACGATTTATTCAATTACTATGAACTGTTATAAAAAGTCATTTTCGTAACCCTATTGTGCATCCTGATTTACTGTGTAAAGAATATAAACCATAAATTCTTAATTGCTTCCGCTTATAGGTAATATAATTCAATATTTCCATTTCTATTAGCTTTGGGCCTTTACATTATATGGGTTGGTATCATAGAAACAGATAAATCTTTGGCAAATGCACTTTGCAATTGGTATCTACATCATAAAAAGAAAAAATTTAACAAAATTCCCAGATTTGTATACATATATTAATCCTTTGATGGCGGGTAAACGAGGCACCAATCCACCCCTGAAAAAAAATATATTATCCAGAATCTGATAGCTGGAAGGAGAGAGAAAATAAACCTTTTTTAGTAAGATTTATATATATATATATGTATGTATGTATTTATTTATTGTGTTGTTTGACTGAGTCTTTCTCTTCTTGAACACAACCAGAAGAAAAATGAAGATGATGTTTATGACGAGTCAAACTCGACTGATACTGACAAGGAGGATCCCTTTCTCCACAAACCCACAAACTGCAAACTGCCATTTTTACGCATATACGTTCACACACTAGGGATCCGTTTATCCATCTTTTGATATATATTATATGTGCAATATATATATATTTATATTTGTTTTCGTTTTCCAGTTGAATCCAAGAAGCAAAAGCCGACTGACATATGGGTACAACCCAAAATGTAAGTCATGGTCTTTGGCTGTATTTTCAATGTTGCCAGTCTTGCATTTACCATCTCCAGGTTACCTTCCTTCTCTTTTGTGGGTCTTTTTTTTTCTTTCCATTTGATGCTTGCTTATATATACACCACGGACGTTTATGTAAATAATTTCTTTTTGGGTGTGTAATTTTGTGTTGATTGAAGAACGTTCCGATGTCCGCTAATGTTTTTCTTTAAAGATCTTTTAGTGTTCTTGGTCAAATTTTGTTTACTCTTCTGTTGGCTGGCATGAATACCTCACTCAAACT